GTCAATTGTAAATTATAACTCCCTATAACTGAATGAGTGTAGGGACACATAATTATTTCTGACTCTGACTTCCTGCAGCAGGTGACACCCTTGGTTAACTCCACAGGCTGTGCTGCCCGTGTGCAGCTGGTCAGGACATTCTCTGAGATGATGGAGAGGAAGTTTTGCCAATTTTCTGCTGTCACATAATCTCAACTTTCATCCCGCCAACAGATGTCATTCAGGATTAAAGCTGAGCAAAACAGCGAGATGAATCTGGGCTGTTACTTCTAATAACAAAAAATACGTTATTTCTAATATAATATATATAATAATATAAATATATATATTATATATTTATATGTGAATAAATATAAATATTTAAAAATATGTTCTTTCTAATAGAAAAAAAGAAAAAAAAAGACTGCAACTGTGAAACTCACATTTCAACTTTATTTTCATTTTCATGATGGTTTAACCAAATATAGAAGCAAGACTTTCTGTGGCAGAAATGCAGGATGCATGTCCTTGGTCTTCAAATAGAAAAAAACCCAGTGGTAGTTCAAAATATATTGTTGTTTTTATTCAGTATCTTTCCATATCTTTAGTGTCATCTTGCATAATTTCACCTCAAAATCTAATTCCTATACATAACTTGCTCTTAAAAATTAGAATTTAAAACCTTTTTTTTCCCCATCACTTCATGTTTAAAGAACCACGAGCATATACAAACCTCTATATTTGTTCAGTCCTATCACTTTGATCTGACAAGAACTCTCTCCATATCTGTGTGTGTGTGCACACCATGCAAGGGATTCAGCCACAGTGAAATCCAGCAACAGTCTGAATGAGATGGCTCATTTCAGACATGTCAGTCCTTGGTAACTCTTTTCCTGTCCAGAAGGTGTTTTCTTACCAACAAGGTTTTTTCTTGCAGCGGGAGATAGAAGACATTGTGAAAGCTGCAGAGAGACTCAGTATCTATGAAAAGATTTGGACACTTGTTAAATTAGATGAAGAAATCACAATACAAACAAGGATTGCTGAAGGTATAATGTCCTGCTTGATCATTTTCAGATTTGCATTTCCACAAACACAGCCTCAGATTCTTAATCACTTCTGCTTTAGTCATGGCATTGCAATTAAAGCAGACACACAGCATCAAAAGCTGTCCTTCCTCTTGGACCTGCCTTAAATTCCAGCACATTGGGGATTGAAAGCTGGCACAGCAGGCATGCCAGAGACATTCCCACAGCTTGGCTGGTGTGCACCAAGAGGACTCCGTCTGCAGTCCCTATGGTCACATCCAGGGCAAACAGCTTGTGATCCTGAGCAGGCCCCTAAAGGGAGAAGGGAAGGGCAGGGATGCAGGCACAGCCTTTGCCCCCAGCCGAGGGGAGCAGCTGCTCAAACGCAGCCCAGCGGGACTGTCTGTGCTGCCGGGCCTGTGGGGGGGTTGGGGATCACCTCTCAGAAATACAGCTGTCAGGAACCTCAGTGCCAGTGGGCCCAGGAGCTGGTCCTGGAAATCACCCATCCGGTACACGGAAAGCTTTGAACAGCTGTGGCTATCCTGGAATAGACTGTGCCATGTGCATCCATTTCTCTTAAGAATCCTTGTCCTGGAAAAGGAGAGTTTCTCCTAGGCAGGACTTTTCCTGGGGAAAAGGCACCAGGCAGTTTTGAGAGAGGAAACCTTCACCTAGCAAAGGGATCCAGCTGCACAACAAATAGTTTCTTGTTGAACAGCATGCTTTAGGAATGGTACTCCCCAATTTAGTGTTCCCACTGAAACTCCAAACCCCTGCTCGCTCACTCCCTCCCTTTTCCCCTCCCCCTCCCTGCTGCAGCAGATTGAAGAATTGGAAGCACAAAAGGCAAAGGTCACAGGCTGAGAGAATTTACTGGAAACAGCAATGAGATAAGAAAAGGAACAGAAGCAGCAATAATACTAATGCCAGACAGTAGAAGAAAAGAAAAAATCCACAGGAAAACAAGCCCCAGTAACAGAAAATACGGGAGCCCTCCCTCCACCATGTTTTTTTGACTGGAAGGAACCCCTCCTGGCTGGAAGAGAGCCCCTTTCCCTGGCCTCCAGCAAGGACAGGAGGTGATAGAGAATAACCTCCATGTCCTACTCCCCTCACAGCTCCTGCAGACAATTAACCCTGTCCTGGCCAGAACCAGGACATCTAGTTTTTCTTGGTTTCATTGGTTTAAGAAAGGAAGTGGGTGGAGGGAGGGACACATGTCATGACCCATGGGTAGGGTCATGAGGTTCATTACAAATTCTCCTCAGGCTGAGCAAAGACACCAGACCATGGGTCAGGGAACTCTTGGGCTTTGTTGTGGAGTCACACTGGGCTGGTGCCCACTAGTGAGACTCCAAAGGTGGTGGCTGACAAGACCTGAAATTTGTACAATAGACTTCCACAAGTGGTGGTTAACAAGACCATAATTTTGTACAGTACAATTGTACAGTACAGCTTCAATAAGCTGTCAAGTCCTCACAAGAAACGTAAAGGTTTATTTTGGTGGAAACTGAGAATTTTTAGCCTGGCAAATTTCCATTCCCTGCAGGCTGTGATAAGCAGATATAAACACATGCAGAGATTTCTGCATGATTCCAATGTCCACCTTTTGTCTACAGTATCAGTTTGCTTTCAGAGTCTTCACAGGATTATAAAAACACAAGTAGAAAAGAGCATGAAACAGTTCTGTTCTGGTTCTTTACATCATCATTCTACTTGAACAGCTTTGCATGAGCATCATCTCTCTTGCCAGGCTTTTCTACTGATAGTTACAGTATGTGGTTTTTTAAAGCTGTGTTGCCAAAAGCAAACGGGTTTGAATTTTTATGTGGCTTTGAGTTCAACTATTTTCCCTTTCTCTGCATGTTAATTCCCACTCATATTGCTAGGGATCTACCACGTATTACAGTACTTTTCACAGGAATTCACTTCATCTAATGTTAAGCTTTAGGTGTATCTTCTTTCTGGTCAGTTCATTAATACTTAAAATTTCTGCAATTTGAAATACAGGAGCAAGGATACATGGCTCCAACAGGGAATACAAGCAGTGTAAGGAAGACTCCTGGGGAGCTTCTTCTAGGAAGGGCAGAAATGTGTATGCAGTCCAAGCCTCAGGGTTGTGTAGAGGGAGGAAGGCACTGTGTGTATCTCTCCATTTGCATGTCAGAGCATGTTTCCACTGATCTATATGTGATCAGTCATGTTCCTCACCCTCAGAATCACCATTAAATATTTCTCCTGAGCATCTGCAAAGACATTTTGTAGAGATGTTGTGTGGACCAAGTGAAATTTTCTCAGCATCTGCATCTTCCACATGAAGTATTTCATGGGCGAAATATTACTGCCTCAAAATTCCCCTTCAAATATTCTGCTTTCAAAATTTTCAGTTGCAAGTCATCTCCATTTGCATTTCACAGGTCCCCAGGCTGGGCTTACGGTCCAGCAGCTGTTTGTTATGGCACTACTGCTGCATGTGCAGCTTTCCTTCTTCGGCAGAGGGGGAGGAGGGAACTGAAGAGGATGTGGACTCATGAAATCACTGCTCTCCTGCAATCCTTTATGCAGAGGACAAGCAGAGAAACCAACAGTTGCAGTGGAAAAAAATCTGCTCTTCCAGCAGCAAGGCAGCTGCTGTTACTTGTGAACACACAGCGTGCAGCAACAAGTAAATACCCTGCTCCACCAAGTGTCTGCAATTTGATATGCCACTCTGGGAAAGACATAAAAAGGTTCTGCTGAAATCCATCTGCCTGTGACTGCAAACGGATCATCATTCCCCATCCCTGTTCAGATGGCAGGGGAACAAACTGCCTTGAGGTACAAAAGGCAAATTACTTGAAACATTTGGCTGCAGCACAGGGCAGTGTTCTGAGGAGAAAGATGGATGGTATGCTGACATGATAGGAATACAACTTTCCTCCCCAAAAAAGCAGCTGGAGTGCCACTTCAAGTTTGGCAACTTCAGTTTTTAATTCAAAAGGCTTTTCCACTCCCATGATGGGGCACAAAATATTTTTCTCATGATATTCCATAACATCATTACTGCTTCCATTTTTTATATGCAAAAAAGGTAGAAGAGACATTTTAAAAAAAGAAAAAGCTTCAAATTTTTTTTTGAAAAGTTAAGATTTCTTTTTAAATATTAAAAATGCAAAAGCTCTATCAAAGTATTTTCTTCCAATTTTAGGGAACTCCCCCAGCAGAAAACAGTTCTGTACAGACAGTGCAGTATGTTCTCCATCTACACACCAGAGAAGTTTTACACCCACTCCCCAAAACAGCTTTCACTCCACAAGAGGCAAGAACTGTGCTTCTGGTAAGGTTTTAATGAGCTGTGGTAAACGTAATTTAAGTAAACATTTTTATTACCTATGGTAAGTAACCTTCTGTAAGCAAAACTATCATTCCTGTTCCTTTAGTTATGGATTTTATTTCCACTACAGGTTTGTTCACATTAGGTCAAACTAACACAACATTTAATTCCTGTGCACCAACCCTTAGGCTGTATCCCACAATTACATTAAATTGTTGCTTGGTTTTGACTTCTAATAGAAGCTGTGGGGGAAAACACAACATAATAAAGGGAAATTGAGTGTTAATTCTGTATTTTTACAGCTGAAATTAATTTTTTGAGTTGCAGAAGGGGGAACAAAAAAGGGTGATGTATCAGCCCTGCCCATCTTGCTGGACAGATGAGAAAGGAGCTGTTCGAAGACAGGGCTGATTCAAGGAACAAAAGTGCTCCCAGGCTGAGGGTGGATCTGTCAGCTTTTGCACAAAGAGAGCAGAAGAAAAGGGAGAAATGGAGAGACCTTCTTTCCTTGAAATTCTTAGGCAGGCTAAGGGAAGCACCAGACATGAGATTGTAACACTCAGCCCACAACCACAGGTACAGAAGGAACTTCAGCAAACTCGCCCCTGTACTTAGTAAGATAAATCAATGTCATTTTTATCAGACATCAATATCAACTGGGGAAAAAAAAACACTACTTAATTTTAAGCAAAACCTTTATTTTAGTTCAAAGGCTTGTTTGTATTAAAACCAGTTACTTCAAAATCAAATTCACATAAAATTCAACATGTAAATAAACTGAAGTTGTCATTGGTCATGATCCATTTCTGAAAGACAAGGGCTCCAAATGGCATTTTAAACAACTTGCATGGCAACAGATAAAACTGGGACAGCAGGAGCATCTCTGAGTTTACAGACTGAGAAGTTGAACTGTCCCCACTTGCTTCAGTACATTTTAAAACACCACCTGCAAACCAGTGCCATTTAATGATTTCTCTATTTCCCATAAATTCATTCAGAAATGATTGAAAAAAGCATCCCAGTTTAATCTGCTACTTCACAGGAGTAAATTCTTTTGAGTAGTTACAGGCACTGCTATTTGCTGCCAGCAAGCAAAGTACTTGTCTTAAAACATTTTCCTTACAACACCAACAATCAAGCTACATTATATACAGTTAAATTGTACAATTACCTTTAAAAAATGCCCATGTACAAAATAGAGTTATTTTATTTTTAAAAGAAATCACATGCTAGATTTCAATTACATCAATATTTTAGAAGAATTTAAAAAAAAATTGATAAATAACATTCCAATTTATTCGGAACAATCCTGCAAGCAAGTGCAGAGGTACCTGCACTATATTTAATATTCTAATATGCTTTTTAGGGCAATTTGTGCTATAAACCTCACGTGCGAAGTATGTGAAAAGCTCTTACTTGTGACAATAGAATAGAAGCTACTTAATTAATGCAAGAGTATTTCAGTAAAATTATTCTACTTATGAAGTAAATACCAGAAGGGCATCTCATTTACAGCCAGTTAGACAAAGAACACAACTAGTGACCAGAACACATACATTAGTCAAAAAGTCAAATATATACAAAAATATATTAGAAAGTGGTTGAGTTTAACCACAGGCTCATGTAAAAAATGTTGTTTTAAATAGCAATAGCAAAAAAATAGCTATTTCTCTATCTGCAACAGTACAAAAGGCAACACCTACATATGAGGTAGCAATGCCAAATTAAAAAAAAACAACAACTTTGGATTGAGGAGCAATTCCTATATTTTCATAGCATATCTGTCAATACAAATATTTAAATGAACACTTCAATTGTTTCAAGAACTACAACATTAATTTACAAAAACCTTTTTTCAATGAACATTTTTTTTTAAAATTACTGGAAATTGGCTTAGTTACTGATTTCTTCTGTTTCTAAAAAAGCTGTTGCATTTTCAAACCCAAACACTGTACAGAAAAAACGTGGAGGCTTTATTATACACACTTGGTAAATGCTATGGTACATTAAGACATAATTTACAAAGATCAGAATAAGCTGACTGTGGTCATTTGATCCTTTTCTGTCTCATGTGCATTCGCTGCACACTTTTGCTACCCCCTGTTCAATGCTAGAGGCAGGATGAGGGTTCACTGCTCACTTCCACAGCTCTGCCCACAGCCAAAGCAAGTGTTTGTATCATCTACTTTCAGGAGTCTGAGCCAGAAGCATGGTTTCCATCCAGGGCCAGGGGCACTGCCAGGCAGCAGCTTCAGAGCTCCCCTTGGTCTGTGCTGAAACTGCCTCAAAAATGGGACGGGAGGAGGGGACAGCTGTGCCCCTTCCCTTCTCCCAGTTCTATATCCCTCAGTCCCTCCTGCAGGTGCAGGGCAGGAGTGGTCACCTGAGCCTCCCTGACCAAAAAAAATCCCATTAATGAAAAGCCAGGAGGGGAACAACCACCTAGCTGAGCGTGCCAGCTCCAGGCCCTGGGCTGCAGGCCCCTCATGTGGGTCAAATCCTCTGCTGCCAGCTCACTGACCAAAAAGACCCTGCTGCTCCTCCAATTCAGGCAACTAAATTGGACATCTGAAGTTAGATGGTACAAGTAACACCAAAAAATGAACTGGATGGAATTTCAGCATTTATTGTATTAAGAAAATAATATACTTTACATCACAGTGCTTAATTAAACGCAATAAAAAAAAAAATGTAAACTCGGAATTCTAGATAAAATTTAGCTTGAAAAATTAGGGCCCCAAGAGTTTTTAAAATTCACAATATTTTAAGAATTGAAGTCACAGCCAGTCAGTTCACATAACTCATGTATTTAAGCTTACTTGTAAATACCTTTGATGCACTCCAAAGTTTGGCCTTTTTTTTTTTTTTTTTAAAAGCCTAAATGACAAATGACCAAGTGCAAAGGTAAGAGGTATATTTTATCTGCAAAGAAACTAACTTTAGAAGTAACTTTCCAATCAGGAACCTGGAGTGCTCTAGTAGATGTAAGGAAATATGCGGTATGGTACACGCTGGCAATACCTTTCCCATGCCAAGCCATATTTTTGCTTACAATGATGTTCATCACGAGCTTCTCGATGAACAAGCAAGCAGATGAAATATATCACGTAGAAATACGGCAAAATGTGGTTAAAACCTGTAAAGTAAAGTGAGAAATTCAATTTAGATACAGAAAAAAAAAATCCAGAGATGTTAGCCATTAACATGTATTAAGCTGGTGACACACACTTGTTAAAGACTGAAGCATCTTATATTCCTAAAGCATCAAACACTCAACAGGACAGTTGTGTGACACGTTTACATGCAGATAGGAAAAGACCCACAAATCCACAAAAAGTCATCCTTAAAATTTAAAGTCACAAAATCTACCAAAACTTCACTCTCGATGCATGCAAAGCTTATCAAACCCACACTTTTTCTAGTTAAACCTCTGCAGCACTGAACTGCCCCACACAAGGTTTTCTCTGTTTTTGCTGTAGACGTGAGTCCAGCTTTGCTCAGACCACAGTATTTGACTTGTAGGTGGAAAAAACTGGAAAATGACCCAGAAATGTGTGACTGCAGCCCAGAAAACCAAATATTCTGGGCTGCAGCAAGAGAAGTGTGGCCAGCAGGTCGAGAGAGCTGATTCTACCCCACTGCTCTGGTGTCCTGAGATCCCACCTGGAGTGCTGTGCCCAGCTCTGGGGTTCCCAGTGCAAGGAAGAGTGTGTATTCACTAACCAAAACTGAGACAGAATTTCACTCCTTTGTGTCTGATGACTTTTTTTTTACTGTATTTTGCTTAGTCATCCTTACATGTGGTAGCCCCTGGTGTACAAGCAAACTCCCACTTTTGGGGAACTTCATTTGAGAACACTATAGCACACCCATTAGCCTAAAAAATTTAAGGAACAACTAATTAGGAAGCAAGTCCCATCGTTATTGAATGATAAAGTGTTAGAAACGCAAGTAAAATCTATAGTATGTCAAATGTACAGCAAGATAGAAAGGGTAAGATGAAAGAGAAAATAGGTGTTGCATTAAACTTATGACACAGAAATTCATAAGTGGGTCATTCAGTGGGTTACAGGGTTTAGTATCCCAAATAATTATCACTTTACATTTCAAATCCAGCCAGATGCTAAAACATAAAATCATTTTTTATAAAATCCACTTTACTTTCAGAAACTTACCACAGGGTAGGGACCATGCTAGAGCCATGATGATATCACCGAGGTAATTAGGGTGACGAACAAAACCCCACCAACCCGTGACAAGAAGCCCTTTTCCAGTTGCAGTGGGTATAAATTTCAGATCTGTGAATAGAGTATTGTAGTCAATACAACAATTGAAATATATATTTAAATACCACAAAGACACATTGTATAGCAACTGAATAAGAAATGTACTTACTGGCCAATTTGGGATCTGCGGGATTCCTTCGGAAATTATTTTTCTGAGAATTTGCACTACGGAATATGTAATACCCAATACCTGAAAATAAATATGATTTATTTTGCATTTTCAGTACTTTCCAGTTCTCTTTGCTGCAACAAAAGAACTCACTCTTATCACTTCAGCCTTTTCCTCAGAGATGCAACTGATATTTTCTCCCAGAATTTTCTTCACAGAATTCTAACAAGATAGAAATGCCATTGGAAACCTGCTCTTACAGTTTACTAACTTTTATAAGATTTTGGAGAAGCTTTATTTTCACATTTATTTTTTACATTTGCATCTGATATAGTTTATTAATGTAACACTGATTGTGAAATTCACATAAAGGTGATGTGCTGCACTTTGTAAAATAACAGTTTTTTTAGCAGCCCAGTATTTTGCTACAGTGCCTACTCTGTGAAGTGACCAACTATTTACAAATTCACAGCAATAAAAGGACCAGACAACGAACTCTCTGATTTTGAAATTAATTTCCCCCACCATTTTCACACAGCAGGTTAAATTTGCTTTTACCAAGGCTGTACTGAGAAAAGATGATCACAACATATTTCAAATAATGACGTTCTTAAAAGAAAAAAAAATAAAAACCCAAGAAAAAACATTAACTGAAGATGAAAAAATGCTGTTGTATTTCTCAGTATTGCACATCTTAAGTTGTACCCCTTTTCTTTTTTTCCAAGTGCTTAAATTCTTTGCCATGTCTACAAAAAACAGGCGGGTTTTTTAGGTTTACTATTCAGGTAAAAGGGACAAATTACAAGGCTATGTTGGTGCAAACTTAAGGTCGCCTAAAGAGGAGACGTAAGATCCTTTCTCAAAGCAAGATCCTTTCTCAAATCACTCGGCTAGAAAAAAGATGTTTTCCTTTAACATGTGTATGTAACTTGGGCATCAGGGAAGGAGATGCAAACACTAAACCTAGGGAAAAAGTAAAGCACAGCCAACAAAGCACTGACTTCTTTTTTGAGTCACTCACAGTCATTCAGATTAACAGATATGTTTGAAAGTCAAATTCAAAACATTTCAAGTCACTTAACTCCAAAGAGCATCCACCTAAAGATTCCTCTCAACAGAACAGTTAGGTGTTCAGTCTCATCTACCCTTCATTTAATAAATACATTCTTTGCATTAAACAGTAGCAAGGCACATGCTTCCACCAGCTCTAATATAGAAAATATGATCACTGCCCTCCGAGCTAAAGCTCCACCTCACATCTCGAAACAAAATCAGTACTAGGTTGTAACTAACAGTAACAATAACATTTACTGTAACTTACAGTTCATAACAGTAATTGCGGCAGCAACAGGCCAAGAAATCACAGTAGGATGACCCACTAAATAGAAGGCCTGCAGACTGTAGACAAATGGAACCCACACCAGATCTCCAAATGCCAGCATGAAACCAAATCCATCATGGGTAATATCCATTGTAGTCAAAACGGCTTCCTAAAAGCAAGGAGGAAGGAATTTAGAATTTTAAAAGCCTCCTTCATTTGACTCTGTACTTAGAAATGCTAGCACAGTTTAACAAGATTGTCATTTACCTCATTCCAAAGAGCATCCACCACATACAGAAGCTGAAAGCTGTTCACAAGTATCATTGACAGGGATGGCATACTTAGATTGTGTACCTTCATCTCAGCCAAGAGCATTGCCAAGTTTATAACAACCTAGTTTAGAAAATATTTTATTTAAAAATTTCCTTGTTCCAAGTGGTCTTTTCAGTTACATTATGGGACACTTTAACACAGATATTTTTGAACAATGTTTGAGTTTTAAAAAAAAAAAAAAAGCTACAGTTTGCAAGTAACCACATTTCTGAAGCCACATAACCTCAATATATGAATACTTAAAGCAGGGTTTTCATTTCCCACAAAGTGAAGAAGCTAGAAATTTCCCTAACGTGAATAAAAATGGTCATTAAAAATCTGGTAATGTGTAAATGTTTTTCAGTCCTTTTCCCCCCTCCCCATTTATAAATATATATAAAATCCTTAATGCCAACTATACATAAAAAAACCAAGATCTCTGTGTAATATTTAAGCAAATAAAATAACTAGGATTACTGACTCACCCAGCCAATTAGTCCTGGACGCAACTCACAGAAGTATTTGAGGTCAAAACTGCCAATACGAGGGTTTAATTCATGTCCAATAAAGAAATCATAAATGAAATACCCTGTGGATAAGACACAGCCTCTGTTACCAATACTATTACTTTCATCTGCCACTACACTCAGCACCACAAATAAGATCCTACTCTCTCATTATCAATTTTTAAAAACCTTTATATTGGAAAAAAAATGAAGAGTATATGCAAAATACAAAGCAAAATTCATACACTTGATATTTTAAGATGCCCAAATATTTTATTTATTAGGAGGACTAAACACTTTAGAAGTTACTGTTGGCTTATTTCTCCCTGACACCTGTTCCTTATTTTCAGCCTCATCCTGAAACTCACATCACAGTCTCCATGAACATGATCTTATGGCATTAATTAATTCTACTTTCCCTCCTATTTCATTGCTTTTTTCTGGGAGAAAAAATTCCTTTAGCTATGATTACCTGTTCATTAAAAGAGATGAAGAAGCAAAATGCCTGGACTTCAAGATACCCTGGACTGAGTTTGCAAAAAATAAGCACTTTGCAGAACACTTACCAAATGCTACTATGCTACCTGCAGAGACTAGAAGTGCACTTTTTGAAGAAAAAAAAAATGATAATTTATTTCCCTTCACACACATAACATGCTGCACTAACAGAACTAAGGGTATTTGAATACTTCATTGTGATACAGTAAGTGTTCTGTCCATAAACATCCCTTCTTAGTCACCCTATGGACATTTATAAAAGCAGTTTCAATGCTAACAGACTTCTCAATCTATCCTTTGTCCTACAAAAACATATGCATATAATTGATACTTTCTAGGAAGGCAGTCTCATGACTGAATCAAAATCTTTTTTGAAAACTCCATTCAGTTAAATAGATTTAAAAGCATGTGCAAAATAGTTTAAAAACACAATGTAATTTTAAGTTCTGTACCTGACTTCCCACTGATAAAATATTTACATTTTTCAGGGTTTTTTTTTCAATTCTCAGCTGTTTCAAGAAAAGGCAGGGGCACTATGAAGCAAACTACACAGGCCTCTCAGACAAAAAAATACTGAAAACTGAAAGGAAAGAACTGTCCTCTCATCACAGGGGACTAGACCAGCCAAGATATTATTCCACAGAAAATCCAACTAAAATTTTAAGCATTTTAGAGTACCCAAGTGAGAACAAAAATTTGCCAGTTAACTTTTAATACTATCTTTACATTCGTAGAAATCAAAAGTCAAAGTATTATATTCAAAGTCCTAAATCCTACACTTTAATTCATAAAAATGAAACTGTAGCAGACAATCAGAAAGAAGTTATCCAAAATATTTTATAACTCACCAGAATTTCCACTTGGTGCTAGCTCTTCCTCGGGTGCTTTCAGGGACCGAACATACAGATAAATGCTCAATGCCAAAGAAAAAGCTGCAGCTGACACTGCAAACTGCATGAAGTGATCATACAAATAATGAAGTTCAAACTGAAAGTATAATAAAATTCCAATAGCTGCAGCAGTGAAAATAAAAGCATAAAACCCTAAAGGATGTAGAAGAAAGATGTATTAGTCAAAATAAAAAAAATACCTTTCTAGTAGAACCTCCCCAGTCCAAGCTTTCTGCATTTTCCTTTCTTCCAAGATTTGTTCATATTCCAATAATGTCTTACACATCCCATGCTCTCAGTCCAAACTTCTGGGGCACAGCAATTTACCTAAGAGACTCTAAGCCCTGAAATTTATTGTGCTCCTCTTCAAAAGGACAAGAGGGAGGAACATTCTGAGCGCTCCTACATTTTTTATAACACAGGATCTAATTTCAGGTTGTAGTGGAAAAATGGACACTGACACCACTAATTGATAACAGCAGGTTACAAAATCTTATCAGTGTGACAACTCAGACAACCATATTTTCATCTTTGAGTTTTCATACATACCTTGATACAGACAGCAGTTACTAAACTATTAAGTAACTATCAACTCAAAATTTGAACACAAAACTTTTGTAGCCTTTGAGAGTATCAAACCATGTGGAATGGATTGATGCCCTAATATGAGCAGGCAATTCTATACTGCTCTCATGTAAGGACCTTCTGTGAACCCTTTCACAGGGTCACAGTGGCTGAGGTTAGAAGGGACCTCCAGAGCTCATCTAGTTTAGTGCCTCCTGATGTTCAGATGGAACCTCCTGTATTTCAGTTTGTGCCCACTGCCTGTCACTGGTCATGTACCATAAAAGGTATGAGAACCTCAACATGACTCACTTCTGCAAGATGGAATTCCTCGTTTCCAAGATTTTTAAAGGCCATATCCTGCCTTTAAAATGGTCCATCTTAACCGATTATGTTAAACCTCAACTTTTTAATTTAACATTTGGATTCCACTACTACCAGACAATGCCCTTGAACTGACTAAATCAAATAGGCAGTCTGGAGTACGTTCAAAGCATCAAAGTACACTTGCCTATGAAGGTCAGAAAAAGCAGGACTGCTGAAGTACGCTAAACCACACTCCTGAACTAGATGAGAAACTTGCCTTATTCATAGGAAGTGAAATCAGTTCTAATTAAGGGTTCTGAACTCTTCTTTGACAGGCAGGAATAAGAACATCTTAAATCAATTACAACATACTTCTTATTAGTCTGTAAATCAGAGACATCTAAGATGATTGAGACACATGGGATGAGATCTCTTCAGATCACTCCTCCTGAACAACAGCCTTTGTCACATGAGCATCACTAACACTTCCTGACAGATAACTCCCCGTTTAGCAAGGAATATGACAGGAGTCACCAGTCACAACTGAATGCAGATCAGGTGCCCTGTATAGCATAATGTCTCGCTCTTGGGGCAGTTAGTTCTGGATGATTACTAACCATCTTCTTCTAAGGCTCACCCTATGTTATGACAGATTTACAACGTGTACATTTTGACCATAGAATGTATCTTTCGTAATTTGTATTTTGTGGTGCTGAGCACTGCAAATCACATAATAGAATTAATCCCAGAATAAGCAACTGCAACATGCTTACCATTTATCCGGTACTGTAGTTTCTTTCCATTTGAAAGAGGCAGGCCTTCTACAACCTAGGAAGAGTAAAATACTCGTGTTCAACAAAGTACTTTCTGAGAGCACTGGTGGGGGAGAAAACCAAGTACATCTCTGCCAGAAAGACATTCAAATCAAGGTAACCAGCTGGACCACAATCAAATCTGAGTACTGTTCTAAAAAAACGTACTTTGGATATCAAAAGGTTAACAGTTTCAATTAAAAACATTTTAAAAAAATAAATCTCTTCCTAACCAGCCTCAAGAAAGCAGAGCTGCTCCAATTATTGTAAACTACTTTAGTGTCCCTTCAGAATCTGCTAGTAGCCCTAACGTCACAAAAGAAGGCAAAAGAGCATTTGCCTGATATACATATGGCTAGAATGGTTTATAGCTTTCTGTAAGTGAAGATTATATTCTAAAACTTTGGACAGCCATAAGAAATTGAGTATTAAACAGTTTGTGAATTTAAAGGTCAAATACCTGAAATTCTTCTAGAATTCTATCAAGTTTTATCCATGCTTTGATCTGAATGCCTGTATAATGCTTTCTGCCTCTTCTACTGAAAGACTCTGAAATGCACGAATTCTTGACAAACTGTGGTCTTTTAAGCTTCAGGAATCTGCAGTAGCCATATTCCAGATTATGGAAAACTAATTATTTGCTTTTAAATTTGCTGCATTAAGAACACACCCCACCCTCCAGCCCAATGTACAGATCCATTGCCCATAAAGCCCCAGTTGCTACCAAACAGCCTACCTTTCCAACTGGCAGCAAGTAGAACAGAGCTTGAAGGAAAAACCACAGAAGAAAAATACCAAACACCCTCGTCTCCCAAAGACTTTCAAGTGCTGGGAGAGGAGGGAAGTTCATAAGACTGGGGTCATCTTGTTTACACATCAACAGCAAGTACAATACAGTAGCAGGAAGGAGAAACATCAGCATGAAGGTCCCTGTAAACAGACATCATGGAATATTAGAAGATAAACAGAGAAAGTTAAAAAATATAGTTTCAATCCCACTTAAAAAAAAAAAGCTCGATATTAACTTCAGTAACAAAGAAAAGGTTGTCTATCTATTCCTGAAGCAAGACAGCAGCAATCCCTAGTCACGTAACGGTACAGAGACATTCTTCTCACTTCCACACAAGGTCATCCATCTACTGAAGGATCACACTCACTGCATCCCCTTAAAACTGGTCGAAAAACTGTAAAAAGAATACTGTCAAGTTCCAAGCACCTAAGTTTCGAAAATGTAAAACCTTTGCTAGTTAACTTCTTAAATCTAATTTAGAAATATTTAGACCTCACTGTGCAAGAGATGGCACAAGATCTTCACTATATTTCGCATGAGAACCAATGTAATAATGGTTCTTTGACTGCCATCATATCAAGTGAGGCACTATCACACCACTCTGAATTCTGCAAACCAGGGTCCAAAAACTGGAAAAACCGTTCTCGACATGACAGTGTGGTCAGTAAGTAAAATACCCACAAAGCAGTACTAATTTTCAAATATTAAAAGAGTTTGCACACACACCAAGTCTTCCCCCAAACTCCAGCTCCTTTGTTTTTGACGGTGCTTTCTCAATTGTTTTTAATGCTGTAAAAATCTTTTTCTCCGAATATATCTCTTCTTTCTTCTTTTCATCTTTCCTTGAACGCAGGCTGTACTGTTCAAAATGCTTTACTTCCACGTCTGGTTTTAACTTTTGCTGTTAATGAATAAAAATAAGTTACTAAAATGATTCCCAGTGATTTTACCTTATTTTACTCCAGTATTTGATATTTCAGAAGACATTATTCACTATAAAACACCAATGTACAATGTCTTCTACTTCTTTAGAGTACTTAATTTTATGCATTCACATGAAGGGACTGCTAAAACCAGAGTCATTGTGATCACCTATGCTGTGATTCACATATCAGCAGCAGTTCCAGCACAGATCATGCATTCCTACCCTCCTCCTTTCCCTTCTGCAATAACCCTGTGCATTAACTAACAATTGGGACTAAAGAGCTGATTTAGCTAAATTTAAAACACTTTCTACAGTCAAATATTCACACTGTAAAAGCATCAGAATGAACGTAAGTTACCAGAGATGGTTCAATGGAAAAAAGAAAACAAACCAAGAAAAATGAATGTTATGCAGCTCTAGTATTTTTCCCTTCCCAACTTCATCTCCCTCTCCCCTGAAATTAGCTTGCTGGACAGCAAATTTGCTTGACCTCAAAGTTTTAGATTGCATTCTATTTCTGCTTGATTATTGTAGTGCCTTTGTCTATGAATTTCTGAGATAGCTAAGTTTGAATGCAACATAAAACTACAAGTAAATACAATGTTCATACCTCCAAGATTATGCAGGATGTGTCATTTTTTTCCGTATTTTCAGGTTCACCGTTGTACCTTTTGGTGTTATTCTCACTCGGCTTCTGGTTAAAAGAAGAAATATAGTTTTAGCTTTCTGAAAATAAAAGCTGCATTAAGTGTGAGTGTATAATGAATAATTAAGAATGCTCTCTAGTTTTTTTTGTCAACTGCAACTGCTCTGGTTTTCTCCACAGGAAAACAAGTGGGTTCAATACCCAAAGTACAGACAGTTTCAGTTCACAAACAGGAAGAGGAGAAGTTATTTTTTTTTTTAATAAACTGTGAAATTAAGAGAGAATACAGCTTCCAAGTTATTTTAACTCATCACTAGGAACTGCCAAATACAAAATACATGTCTATTCAATAATGCTAGTGGCAAGCAGAGAAAACTTCAGTGTCCTATATATGGCACTGCTCTGCAGGACTGACAGTTGGTTTTCCATTAAATATCTTTGAAGAAATAAATTGTCTTACAAAAATTCTTTTAATGAGCCTAGCTTACACAACTCTGAGAAGACACAACTCATGTGCTCTGTTTCATTTCACCCCAAGCTGGGCTGAAAAGGACCAGGTCACCCCAGTTGTACAACAACCAACAGATCCATCCTCAATTAGAAGCCATCAGAAAAAAACAAAAGATATTTTAACCTTTTTGTCCTAAAAGGTACAAGAAGTACAAAAAACAAAGTGTAGCTGCTGGCTACAAACTACTTAAAATGAGCATATGGTCCACGGGCCATGCACTGGGTCATACAGTTCAAAGCACTTCACTGCAAAACAAAAGCCACAGCAATTTCTGTGCCAAAGAGTGCTTTCAGTAGTAGCAATATACTGAACCTATCTATTTAGTTTAGATTGATCTGGTTTAGTTTAGTTGAAACCCAACTAACACCTGTCTATTTTTAATAGGTCAGCAGAAGAGATTTCCAGTTCAGGGGACTGTGTCTTGGACAAGTGAGAAGCTATCTCAAGGGCACAAGAGGCAGAAGAAATGCTGTTCGTTTCTTAATAGAGAAACATCACTTCTACTATTCTTCACTTACAGATTACCAGAACCATTTCTAACACTCATTCTAATTTTCACAAAAATGTCAAGAACAAACACAATAAACTTCAATTAAACATCAGATATTTGATAAACTTTGAAATCCTTACAGGACATTTTCATAATGAAAACAGTTCTGCAATAGTATCAATCAGCAGGGTCATATTTAAATATTCCACATTTGAATTCTGCAACAGTTCTCACACAGAAGTTGCATATTTTTCATTACTATTGTAAATGAACTGTATATGATAATAGAACTCATTTTATTTAAAATTCTAATACCTCCCTGCTATGTATTGATCAAAACATCTTAAAAATAGGCTAACTTCCTTTGCCCCATTTCACAAGTAGAAGCACATGACTAACAACTCTTTAATATTAAAAGATAAAAAGAATTTGTGCGTGTTTGGATTCTGAGAACTTCACAGCAAATTCAAATGGAACTTGATAACGTAAGTTTATATTTCAAGAATTTCCTCAAACTCTGAAAGTCAGAAACCCTATTTTCAAAGGCAAAAAAAGAGGTAGTTCTCAGATACACTTTTGCAGCTAATTATGTTGTTCAAGGAACATCACCTACAGCCGGCCTTTACAATGATAAACCCAGTACATACGAAAACAAACTTTCACAAATAGTAAAAATTTGAATTTAGAAAAAAAACCAGCAAGCCCCCACACAAAGAACAAACAAAATTAATACCGCTGGTAGAGCTAAGCTGGTTTCCTGAATGGTTTTCTTTTTGTCATCTTTATGTTCTCTGCTTTGGGAAGTAGAACGACGTCTCCCTCTCCCTGGCCGACCAGGAGACCTGGATCGAGATCTGCTGGTGCTTCTTCTGGAGGGAGAACTTGAAGAAGACTGGCTCTTCCTGTGCTTGAATGATGACTGAGACTAAAGGAAAGCGGGGAAGAAAGCAAAATCTTACCTACGTTCCAAAGAACAATGTTAGAAACAAGGTGGGTTTTTTGTAACAAGGACCCTGGCATACAGCTCTGTAGATTTGTCTCTAATTTCCTTTACTGATGCTGTACAAAGCCTGTTAAAAAAGAGCAACTGCAGCATACTCATTTTGCTGGTAATTCCCAACCAAACAATCCTGTCCCAGGTCCAACTGCTTCTGACAATCCCTAACAGAACTACAGAAATCAGGATATGGATGTAAACTACCAACGTGAGCACCAAGCCCTTAGGCCTCTCAATCCTTTGCATAAGGAAGGGAATTGATAGTTGTCTTTTAAGCCCTAAGAGACTGCTCTCATTTCCATATTTCCATTACTCAGCTTGATTAATGCATTTGACATAGCAAGATGTCATCATCTGTTTAAGGCAACACAGATCAAATCAACACTAAAAAAATCCAAGTCAGCTAATTCATTTAATTAGATGTGATAACTAATTTCATAAACAGTTTTCCACAAAAGTATTGTTTGATTTCTCTGTTTCCCATGTAACATTTCCAGAATGCAACTTTTATAATGCACAAATGTTTCATGACAACAAAAGGCTTTTCCTCAGCTTGAGTTTGCTAACCTGCAAGCAGAAAGTAACAACAGGTTACAAAGTCCTGAAGCAGCGATTACCCCAAGGCAGAAACATTTTGGTTCCAAAGTAAAAGGCCAGTTACTGGGCATGCACACTGCCACCAAGAAGTGAAACTACTGTTCACATAAAGACACATAAGTCGGCTTTGAACTTATGCAGGTTTCAGAACAGGCCACAAAAATCAACTGCAGTGAACATTCAAACAGGGTTTTTTCTCTCACGCATTATCATATTTTAAACTGAAGTGAAAACTGAAATATGGAGTTTTAAAGGTCTTTATTAGTAATAAAAATGAAATAATAAAGATATGTAAAGAGGAAGGAATGTGCTCACATGCATATGCCATGAACCTTTCTCAAGAGTTTCTAAATGTCACAAATGTAGCAAAATACCTTAAGGAGCCTTTGAGGACCTAAAGCAGGACAAGCTATTTGCAGATGCTTTAAGTATGTGCTTAAAGGGCACACACTATTTATATTTACAGTGATCCTTAACTACAGGTTTCCATTCGTTTTCAAATTTTCCTCTTTAGAGGTGGAAAAATGTCAAATTAGCATCAGCCCTCTGATTACTGCCTTTATAAGGCACCCCAAACTGATTTTTCATGAAGAATCATGCTATAGAGTTCCCAAACGATCAGTCTTGTTTTTCCCCAAACACATCACTGCTTTTTTCAACACAAAGCAAACAATCACTCTTCTTTAAAGATGGGGTTTCAGAACTTAACTACCTGAGAGGTCCCATAGGAAAAAGCTAATATTTAACACCAATTCCTTGAAGACACAGTTAATAAAAACTTGTAAAATGACTATCCAATTCTGAGTTGTACTTTTAGCTACATCACAAAGTTGGTGTAATCTTCCACCAGAAGCAGTGATACTTACATACACGGGTACTCACCCTTATATCACTTTCTTTCAGTGCAAGTTCAGTTCCATCTTTGTACTTGACAGTATAAAGATGAGCAACATCATCATAACTGGTCACTTGTACTTCATAGTACAGGACACTTCCTGGCCAGCGGCCCATCACCACCTCGCCATCAGCATACCTCCGGCTTGGCATTTTCCAAAAAGTATCCCTAGAAAATAAATCAGTCAGTGCACATGACAGCTAAACATTAGGCTTAATTTCCCCCCCACTCTCTTTCTGTATCATTTAGGCTGGAAAGAGGAAACTTTAAACAACTCTCCACTTTAAACAGAGAAAAAGTTATGTGACAAGAAAACAGCAATTATCTGTTTTCCAAATAGAGTGAAGACTGAAGATACATATTCTGGAAAACTGTTCAAATGTATTAGACTAGTACTCAACTATGATATACAACCTCCATCACCAGGCAGAGCACATATTTGACCAAAATTACATAATGCAGCTCATCTTATCTAGAGGGGGAAATGCAAATTAGATGGTATTTAACAGTCCTCTAAGCCACTTTCCCTGTGGTTATACTGATATTACAGATGTGATGATTTCTAAATATTAAACATTCCCAATCTCTTCAACACTTACATTTTTTTGTCACATTACACTTTTTTTTTCAATTTATTATGCCAAACATTCGAAAGTTATGAAACTTCAGAATTTAGGCTCCTGTCTGGGCAGAGTTATTTTCTCTTTTCCACCTATTTAGCACAAGGTTTGTACTGCCTTTTGCAGGGGCCCATAGGAAAACAAAGTACGGTATCAGAGCAATCACACAGTAACCCGAAAAACTAAATTCTATCCTCCTTTCAGCACCATAAGGTTTTTACCTGATATTAGCAAAACATGGTGCAAGTGAGTACTACCCTTGGTTCACCACACCAAGTGCTGGAAAAAAACCCACAACCACAATTTACAGAAAATTGGTTTTAAATGTTAAGTCCTGTATAACTGTTTGTAAAATGCTTTGTATTGTGTCATTGCCTTCTGAAAATAAATATCCAAAGCAGAACATACTTTTAACCTGAATTTCCTAGTCTCAGGTCTCACATATCAAGTGAGGTTACCTTAAAAGTCTAAGGTAAAATATACACCAATGTATGTATTAGCACCATCTGTACAGTGAACACAGGAACTTAGAATGGATGGGGGGAGAGGGACATTTTACTTGTTTGCTATAAATAAGATGTGAAGCCACACAAAGTGAGGTGAAAGCAAGTATTTAACTAGATACTCATTCATTACACATTAACTAACCTGCAAGGAAAAGTTAGATTCTTGGAGGATGGAGCTCAGTGAGGTTTTTTAATCAACACTCATTCTGGCATTTTCCGAAGATGCTGCTGTTAAGTTTTTACACCTGTGTAGCTCTCCAAGTCAAAGAAACGAAAAACTCAGCAAAACTCCCTCATATGGATTTTACCACTAATATTCCTAACTGCTTCAAAACAGAAACATCTGGCCACCTCCTCTGCTGTAAAACATTTGCAGGAGAAAAAAGAGTAAGTTTTATAATTTTATTTCACTGACACTTGTCAGTTGGAAAAATTATCAGAATTCTAGTCTATGCTTGTAGGCACATGCTCTTCCAGCTCCTCTGCCTTCTAACTAGTGTTTCTTGTCACAGTTTCCTGTTAACCTCTTATTCTTTCTGAATTCCCACTCCTTCGACTGTTTTATCCCAGTCAGTTTAACCCACTCAAACACATAGCCCTGTTTCTGATGACTCCATGAAATGCAACTTCCATATTTTCATTTTAAATTCTTCATTCTCTCCTTATCCCCCTATCCTTTCAGGATTTCCTGTCTTTTCTGCCCTTGTTCACCCAAGCAGTTCCAGTCCCTCTTTGCCACCTCTGGGCTCAAGTCTGATCTCAATCCCCATAATGTCTCCTTGGCCACTTTTCTCACCCAAAAGACAGTTCTTCAGCAGATCCATGTCTACTACTGCTCTTTCCCCAGCCTCCCACAATTACAGCTTCTTCCCTCTCTTCCATAAATAGTCTAAATACCAGTCCTCCAGCTTTCACTAGATGTCATAACCTCACACATAACTTCATTTCCTCTCTGCTGTTGTACTTCCTACACTCCAGCCAAGGGTTTCTTCTCTTGACTTAGAGCACCTCAGCCATCATCTGTAAATTTAGAGCCTGACCAGGACAAAGCTGGCAGATCCTCAGACAAAGGTGTGAAATATGGAATCTTTGGAGGGTAAGTCCTTTTTGCAAAAGGGAAACATTTTTTCAAAAGTTGTTATTAAGGACATGTACACTGATTTTTACAATTTTTAACAACCACTTCAAAATTTAGATATAATTTCATAGGGATAATGAAACGCAATTCTCTGCTAGACCTCAAAATCCAACAGTTTTGTATGCCAACATAAAAACAGCCCAAAGAAGAGGTAACCTGATGATTTAATTCTTGTGAAAGGCAGGAAGACCTTCCCCTCCTCCAACTTGGTTCTAAAAAGGAGCTGGTTAGTTTTAAGAAGTTGAAAAATGTGGTTGGAAGACCTGTAACTAAATCAATGTTATGAAATTCCTGATTAATAAATAACTTTAAGCAAGTGCAAATATTATCCTCTGACTCAAATGTAATGGACAATCTTATTAATGGGAAAACATTTTCCAGTTCTTTTCCTTAAATATTAAAGCTCAATGATAAGCTCAAACATTAAACACTAAAAGAAGTAAATATAACTTCTTACCCTATCAAAAGTAACCACCTTGTTCTGCACCCCAGCTCCTCCTGTGAAGGGGGTTTACAATCCTCATTCCTTCTATCCCACTTCTAAAAGCTACACCGTTTAAAGGCAGCCTTCATCTGTTCAGATAACAGACATGATTACTGACATCAAAAAAAGTAAAGACAGGAAGTTTTAAAAAAAACACACCTAAGAGATTACATTTTGAATTTACTGCTCTTTCAAGCTCTACACACACCCCTGCTAATTTTCAGGGTATCAGCTGGCATCAGCCTAATGTTTACAGTACTCCTACACAAGACTTTCAATTCACAGGGCTTCAAATTATGTATCCAAGGATGATTATTTCATATGATGAACCCTGTGCTGTACAGACATCAGATTGCAACTATAGTTATTTATGAGATGAAATTTGTGTTTTCTGCACCATTATTATTTTCCTTTAGAAACCCAGACTCAAAGGGAATGGAAAAAAAAGGATTTTGTACCCTATACTAAGCAAGATAATTAACACAAAACTCCCTGGAGGTTAAAAGTTAGCCAAGAAGAAAAGTTACTGCTGAGTCAACCAAGAATGAAATAAGTAAAGAGAAACACGGCTGAGAAACATATTACCCCACGCATCCATTTCTGGTCTCTCTTAATAGCTCTCACTAGAGATGTGGAAAGATATTTCACTGTAGAGAAAATAAGACTGCCAGCTTGCAGCCACTGGAAGATCATACCCCATCATCAGAGGTTGGGTACCCAGTTTTAAGAATACATAAATAAACACTAAACAAGCTTTCCCTCTTCGAAGATCAGAGTTCACACATATTAAGTGGTTCCACTTAGTAGTTCTGAGACCTCAGCACTGCTAGATAACGTTCTCTAAATCAGAGGAAGAAGCCATTTGAATGCAAGAAGAAATGCAGAAGAGAACACTGACAGTCGAGGCTAACAAGACAGCCTACACGGAAAGTTGCTACTGAATTCACCGGAGACTGAGCTGTGCAGGACCTTTTCAGCATCACCACTAAACTCTCCACATTTCCAGCTCTTCACCTCCAGACGGTGGAGGGACCTCCCCCTGTCCAAGCCAAATCAGCGCCACCACTACAAACAAGCACACATCAGCCTCAAAGCAAAAATAACAACCCATCAACCCTGGGCCTGGGAAACGAGGGATTTCCCCTTTAAAGAGGCTCTCCAGCGGAAGCACGGCGAGCGGCGGGGACGAGGCAGAAACTCGCACTCCCCGCGCAGGGCCCGGGCGGCGGCGGCGGGGCGCTGTTGACAGGAAGGGACCCACGTGCCAGGCAAGGCCCAGCCCCCCGGCCCCGCCCCGCCCGCGCTCCCGGCCCGGGCCTGGCGCGGGGCCTCCGCCGCGGGGGAAGGGAGGGGCCGCACCGCCCCTCGGCGGCCTATCCCGGCGCAGGGCCCGGCGCGGCGGCGGCGAACAAAGCGGAGGCGCCCGACCCCGCCAACCCCGGGGCCCGAACTAGCGGCTCGCGCCGCTCCGCCGCCCGCCGCGAGAGAAGCCCGAGCGCGGCGGCGATCGGCGGGAGCGCTTCCCCGCCACGGGGAAGGCCGCAGAGGGAAAGCCGTGGGGAAGGGTTTGGGAGGGGGGGGGTGTTATCCCGGCCCGCGCGTGGCGCCATCCCCGTTACCTGGAGCCCGCCCGCGCGGGGCCGGGCCGGGCCGTGCCGTGCCGGAGGCGGATCCGCGGAGTGGCGGGAGCGGGGCCCGAGCGCGCGCCGCGCTGCGCTGAGGGAACAACCGCCCCACCGAGCGACGGTTACGGCCGCGCGCACGGCCCCGCCCCCTCGCCGCCCGCCAACCGCGCCCATTGGCCGCGAGGCGCCGTTTGAATCGCGGGGTGGCCGCACGCCATTGGCCGTCCGCACGATGGCGCGGTCCGGCCCCCCCCGCCGCTGTGGGGCGCGCGCACGGCCCCGCCCCGCCGTGAGGGTGGCGAGGGGGGAGTGGAGCGTCTTCCCCGCCCCTCCCACCTCCCCTCACGGCGGCCGGGGGAGGATGGCCGGGAGGGAAGGTCATTGTCGCTGTCGTTGTCGTGGCGGTGGGGGCAGGCTCTAGCCGCCCGCGCCACACAGGCCCCGCCGCAGGGTGGTAAACAAAACCCCCGTTTTGTTTACGGAGCACTCGCGGTCGAGCCGCCTCCAGAGCCGCCTCCGGCACCGCGAGTGCTCCTGCACTGGCCGAACAGCAGCCTGTGCTCCCTCCAGCCCTCCGCCTCCAGCATTCAACAACGCCAGAATGTAGTAAAAAGGCAGTAAACGTACTTCTCTCTCTCAAAAAGAAAAATAAAAAAGTGGGGAGGAAGCGGAGGCGGCGAGACCGCCAGTGTTCCTACACTGACCGAACAACAGGCTGTGCTACCTCCAGCACTGCACTTCCAGCACTAAACAAAGGCAGAATGTGGTAAAAACGATGTAAAAAGACACTAAAAATATCCCCAATCTCTCCAAAAGAAGAAAAGGGGGGGGGGGAGCAGAACCGGCTTTTGAGGTGGCGAGACCGCGAGTGCTCCCACACTGACCGGAGAACAGGCTGTGCTCCCTGCAGCCCTGCACCTGCAGCACCCAACAAACCCAAAATATGGTAAAAATGCAGTAAAACCAACCCCTCTCTCTCCGAAAGAGAAATAAAAAAGGAATAAAAAGCAGCAGCATGTGGTTACCCTTGTCCTTTTGAGGCAACTTTCTCAGAAAGGCCATTCGAGTTCCTGGCCAGATTTTGAAATCAGGAAGTCTAAGCAATATTTGAGCGGGCAGATGAAAAATGGGTTGTGAAAAAATTAACACATTGTCCTTAACAGTGAGGTTTAGTGTTCAAATAAGTTGTTTCCAGTGTTGGGATCTTAAAAGTGATGAAGTGCTTTAAGTGTGAAATACAGTCGTGTTTGTGTTTGCACAATCATTATGGACTTCCCAAATTGTCTGAATTTGGGTACAGGCTGACAAGTGATACTCTGTTCTAATAAAGCTTTCTAAACGAAGGAAAATTCCCTAAAGACAAGACCACCATTGTCCCATACAGAAAACTGGCAGTGCCACACAGACACAGCAAAAATCCCACATAAAAAGAAACACCAACCAACCAACCAACCAACCAACAACAATTTATTGTTGTTTGTTTGTTTGTTTGTTTGGGGGTTTAATTTTGTAGCTATAATGTTTGAATTAAGAGTAAGTATGGCAAACTTTTTTTCCCCTAAGTGATTGCAGGAAATGGGCATTTGTGTGTGAATTATTTAAAAATATATATATATTACTATTTATTCTGTCTATTTTGGCCTTGAAATTTTTTGTTTTCACAAGCAAATTTTAAAAAAATTTATTTTGTATCTCCTATTTTTATACCAAAGAGGTCCAGTTATATTTTCTCATACATTCATTGTATTTTTCACTATGTGATGCAGTAAGAGACATTTAAATGAGATTAAAAGTTACTCAGTCAAACAGGAATCATGTGTAAATATAGATTTTAATAAATGCAGCCAGAATAAATTTGTTCTTTAGTTAAGGCAATCAGCTTTATCTAAGAAACACTTGATAATTTACTATGCAAAAGAATGCAAGTGAAGCTTAATTTCTGACTTCAGATAATGTATATTTTGGTTCCAGCTAAGATTTTTGCTATATTACTATTGCACAGTTTACAACCATTATGTTAAAAACTGTTTTCAGTAGTTGTCTAAATTACAGTAACTATTCCTTGGAGTGAGCCTGCTTCATTTTGTTGGCAGAAGAATCCTACAATTAATATGCTTAAACATGAAGGTTTTCAGTTGAAATCTCATTTAGAGAATAAACTTGCTTTCAGAGAAATGGTTTTGGTTTGGAATTGCTTACTGAACCTGGATTAGAAACCTACTGGGCCATTAAGAACTGTTTATTGCAATTCTACCAGTGATAAGTGGTATACATTTGAGAGATTATTTCAGAAATATTTATGGGACCACCACAGGACAACTAATAAATGGGACAAATAGGAAATCCAGTCAGGACCATGACCATCAAAAGGATATTACCTGTGCACTGCTGCAAGTTAGGTTTCCAGTGTTTGAAATTTGCCTATATCTACAGAAAACATCTCAATCTCACAACATAAAACTGAGAAAATAATTCTCTAGGCTTTCATTTCAATGAGAATAACAGAATCATCAGGGTTGGACAAGACCTTCAAGATCATCTAGTCCAACTATCACCCCAGCACCACAATAATCCCCCTAAAATGTATCCCCAAGTGCCACATCCAGAGACACTTTCAGAGACAGTGACTCTTCCAGAGGAGAAAAACACCTTTCCTTCTCTGATTCCTGTCTCCAAAATGCTCTTCAGCTGAAGGCAGAGAAACGGGGAAGGGGTTTGGGAGGAAGCCATTCAAAAAGCAGTGGGAAGTGAGTGTTAGCTATGACAAGACTCAGGAGAATGGTGGAAAACAACACGATAACCAAAAATGGGATCATTTCACTCTTCTCCAGCAAAGGCCAGGAAAAATTTCATCAGGTGTAAGTTATGGTTCTGAAGTCTCCTTAGGACACACACTTAGCAGTAAAAATTGCTTAAGCTTAAGGGAAAATATAAGTAGCCGGTGAAGTAAAATTTCAATATGAATAATATTGTCTGCACTCTGTAAAATCTGAGTATATCCAAGGGGAATCTGGGGTTTTCTATAGGACTGATGTCTCAAGCAGCTCTAAGTGACAGCCAGGGATAGTCCTACAGTTTGTGCTTGCTTGTTGGTGTTACTTAAGTAGTCCCAGGGAGTTCAGTTGTATTGTCTGGCCTTGGCAGAACAGGTTGACTTTACAGAGGAACTCTCTCCAAACAATGAACCCCTCTGGAGGTTCTGAATTTCTGCCTCTGGAGGCACTGAATTTAGTATTTCAGGATATTAAACTACCTTTAATTTAATACAATATATTTTAAAAAAATCCCACTGGTATATTAACTCTAGTTAATATCCCAAGACTTACAGTTCAGAATTGGTGACCATTGGAGTACCCTACATTGTTATTAACCAGTTGGTTATTAACAGTTGCTGCCTGTGATATTATGAATTGCTGGCATTATTATGTGTCCTGATATTTAAGCTAACTCATCTGGACACACATAACTGTGTGCTTTCTCAACACCATATGAAAACAGGTTTCACAGTAGTCCTCAGATAAGTCAAGTCTATGGAATTAAATTCAGGTTATAGCTAGCCTCTTTTTTTAGATCTGCAGATACTTCTTGAAACATTAAATTTTACTCTAAATCCTTTTACCTTTATTTTGTATGGTTGCTTAATAATATTTGCATATTCAATATCTATCTTGCATTTTTTGTCCTCCTATTTTTGATTTTACCTGAAAATGTTTGTGGCTGACAAATAAAATCATCTCAGAAGTGTTCTTGTTCCAATAGCATTTAGAGACCAAATAATGAACTAAAATTCCATTGACTAGGCAAAAAAAATTCTTACAGTCATTTTCACACCGTTTCTGTCCATCTCTTATTTCTTCTGATGTAATAAGATGGAGATTTTCATTTTTTTAAATATAAATATTAAAAGATGACAATTCTGATACCAGTACCTATCTTTCATCGAATGTAACTCACTTTAAATTGACGAAATCAATATTCAGGAAATACAACCTTAACACACTGCACAGTGCTGGCCATGAACTCCCCTAAATTTGTTTTGCTCTGGAATACTTACAACATTTCTGGTCAAAGTTAATCTTTTTCTGTCCGGCAGCCAGATCTGACAGCCCATGGCTGTCTGGGGAACTCCCATGTGTCCCTACCACACCTGTGCTTAAGACAAGTATTATTGTTACTTTGTTATTATACCATTTTTAATAGGTTTCGTGAAAGGTTGCAAAAACAAGTCCTAAAAAGCTGCCAACTCAAGAAGGTTGAGAAACATTGTGATAAATGGCTTTAGCAGGGGCTATGGAGGTGGGTGGG